GTACATCACTATTCTGAGCGAAAGAAAGTGAAGTTGGCAGCCGCTCGCTTTAGTGATTATGCACTTGCATGGTGGGATCAACTTGTAACCACACGAAGAAGAAATGGGGAGAATCCTATTGATGCTTGGGATGACATGAAAGCGGTTATGAGGCGAAGATTTGTTCCAAACCACTATCATAGAGAAGTTCTCCAACGATTGAGGCGTTTGGTCCAAGGTAACCGTAGTGTCGAAGAATATTATAAAGAGATGGAAATACTAATGATTCGAGCCAATGTTGATGAGGATAGGGAGTCAACGATGGACAGATTTATTGGAGGGTTGAATCAGGAGATCCAAGATCGTGTGGAGACTCAACACTATGTTGAGATGGAGGAGTTGCTACATCTTGCGATCAAGTTTGAGAACCAAATCAAAAGAAGGGGGAAAACACATCAGAAGTTTGGTTCCAACTCTGCCAATGCTCGGCCACATTTCCACAAAGAAGATAAGCAACCTTTTGGTTCAAAAGTGGCAGCAAAGCCCGAGGGCAAACCTGATACGTCCCAGCCTAGAAAGCAAGGTATTTCTGATGCTCTTCCATCACGTACTCGAGATATTCGATGTTTTAAGTGTTTGGGCAGAGGACACTACGCAAATGAGTGCCGAATCGAAGAACTTTGGTGGTTTCGTGATAATGGAGAGGTTGAAACCGAAGCTGAGGGTGAATCTGATTCAATGACGTCTTTGGAGAGTGATGTAGATGAGCAAAAGGCTGAGTCAGGTAAACTGATGGTGACTAGAAGGGTTTTGAATCTTCGATCAAAAGAAGAGGAGAAAATCCAGCGAGAAAACATCTTTTATACAAGATGTGTTGTTAAGGACAAGGTTTGTAGTTTGATCATTGATAGTGGGAGTTGTACTAACGTGGCGAGCAATTCTTTGGTTGAAAAGCTAGGGTTGCTTACTCAGAAGCATCCAAAGCCATACAAACTTCAGTGGCTGAATGACAGTGGAGAAACGAAGGTTCATAGGCAAGTAAAGGTTCCATTTCGTATTGGCAAATACGAAGATGAAGTGCTATGTGATGTTGTGCCTATGCAAGCTGGTCATTTACTTCTTGGGCGGCCATGGCAGTTTGATACCCATGCTCAACACGATGGATACTCCAAGAAATATTCTTTTGAGTTCAAAGGGAAGCAAATCAGATTGGTTCCTTTGACTCCTAAAGAAGTGTATGAAGATCAACTTCAAATGATCAAGAATGAGAAGAAATTGTGTGACCATGAGGTAGTTCACTCAAAAATTGGTGAGGATTTGAGAAAAACCCAGTCAAAGGCCTTTGAGAGTATACCCGTGAGATCAAACACAAATTTCTTCATGAGAGCGAGAGAGGTTAAGAAAGCATTGCTTTCGCACCAGCCTATGTTTGTACTTCTGTACAAAGAGGCTCTTTTGAACACTAACGAACTCACCTCTACTTTGCCTAGTGTTGTTCTTGATCTGCTGCAGGAATACGACGATGTTTTTTCCGGAGGAGATTCCAAATGGACTGCCACCATTACGAGGAATCGAGCATCAAATCGATTTCATTCCCGGTGCAAGTATTCCAAACAAGGCAGCCTACAGAACCAATCTCGAGGAAACCAAAGAGCTTCAAAGGCAAATTTCGGATCTAATGGAGAAGGGACACATCCGAGAAAGCATGTCACCATGTGCCGTGCCGGTGATTCTTGTACCAAAGAAAGATGGTACGTGGCGAATGTGTGTTGATTTTCGTGCAGTCAACCAAATCACGGTAAAGTATCGCCATCCTATTCCGAGACTTGATGACATGTTGGATGAGTTGCATGGTTCAAAATTCTTTTCTAAGGTTGATTTGAGAAGTGGCTATCATCAAATACGCATGAAAGAAGGTGATGAGTGGAAAACTGCCTTTAAAACAAAGCATGGGTTGTATGAATGGTTGGTTATGCCTTTTGGCTTAACAAATGCACCTAGCACGTTTATGAGGCTGATGAATCACGTTCTTAGACATTTTCTAGGACGTTTCGTGGTTGTGTATTTTGATGATATGCTGATATATAGCAAGAACCTTGTTGAACATGTTGAACACATTAAATCTGTCTTGGATGTTCTGCGAAAGGAGCAATTGTTTGCTAACTTCAAGAAATGCACGTTTTGCACTAACAAATTGGTGTTTTTAGGGTTTGTGGTTAGTGAGCAGGGAATTCATGTCGATGAAGAGAAGATCGCCGCCATAATGGATTGGCCATGTCCGAGGACAGTTGGTGATGTGAGGAGTTTTCATGGACTTGCAAGTTTTTACAGGAGGTTTGTTAAGGACTTTAGACCCATAGCTGCACCACTTACAGAAGTTATCAAGAAGAATGTCAGGTTTAAGTGGGGAGATGCACAAGAAGCTGCTTTTCAACTTCTGAAAGAAAAACTCACTAATTCTCCACTCTTGTCTCTACCTGATTTTTCTAAAGCTTTCGAGGTAGAATGTGATGCTTCTGGTGTAGGTATTGGAGCTGTTTTGATGCAGGAAGGAAAGCCAATAGCTTATTTCAGTGAGAAGCTAAGTGGAGCGCAACTAAACTATCCCACTTATGACAAAGAGCTTTATGCTTTGGTGAGGGCGCTTCAAACATGGCAGCACTATCTTTGGCCGAAGGAATTCATCATTCATACCGATCATGAGGCTTTGAAACATCTAAAAGGTCAGCAAAGGTTGAACAAACGACATGCTAAATGGGTTGAGTTCATTGAAACATTTCCTTATGTTATTCGCTATAAGCAAGGAAAAGAGAATGTTGTGGCTGATGCTTTATCTTGTCGTCATAACCTGCTTGTTTCTCTTGACTCGAAATTGCTCGGCTTTGAGTTCATTAAGGAATTGTATGCTTCTGATCTCGATTTTGAAGATGTCTTTAAGGCATGTGAGAAATCTGCTTGTGGTGAATATTTCATACATGATGGGTTTTTGTTCCGAAAAAACAAGTTGTGCATTCCTCATTGTTCTTTGCGTGATTTGTTGGTTAGGGAAGCACATAGTGGTGGTCTAATGGGGCACTTCGGCACACTTAGAGTGCGTCCAAACACGTTTAGAGTGCGTCCAAACACTTTTAGAGTGCATCCAAACATGTTTAGAGTGCATCGAAACATTTTTAGAGTGCGTCGATGCATATTTAGAGTGCGTCGAAACATGTTTTGAGTGCATCGAAACATGTTTAAAGTGCATTAAAGTATACTTAGAATGTTTCCAAACACGTTTAGAGTGCGTCCAAACACTTTTAGAGTGCATATAAACATGTTTAGAGTGCATCGAAATATTTTTTAGAGTGCGTCGAAACATGTTTAGGGTGCGTCCAAACAGGTTTAGAGTGCATTAAAACATTTTTAGAGTGCGTCGAAACATATTTAGAGTACGTCGAAACATGTTTAGAGTTCGTCTAAACATTTTTAGAGTGCGTCGAAACACGTTTAGAGTGCGTCCAAAAACGTTTAGAATGCATCCAAACATGTTTAGAGTGCCTCAAAACATACTTAGAGTGCATCCAAACATTTTTAGAGTGCATCCAAACACATTTAGAGTGCATCGAAACATGTTTAGCGTGCATCAAAACATACTTAGAGTGCATCCAAACGTGCTTAGAGAGCATCCAAACATTTTTGAGTGCGTCGAAACATGTTTAGAGTGCATCCAAACATACTTAGAGTGCATCCAAACACACTTAGAGTGTGTCCAAACACGTTTAGAGTGCATCCAAACATACTTAGAGTACATCCAAACACACTTAGAGTGCGTCCAAACACATTTAAAGTGCATCCAAACACTTTTAGAGTGCATCCAAACATGTTTAGAGTGCATCGAAACATTTTTAGAGTGCGTCGAAACATGTTTAGAGTGCGTTGAAACATGTTTAGAGTGCGTTGAAACATGTTTTGAGTGCAACAAAATATGTTTAGAGTTTGTCGAAACATGTTTGGAGCACGTCAAAACATATTCAACGCGCATCCAAACATGTTTAAAGTGCGTCGAAACATGTTTAGAGTGCATCCAAACATATTAAGAGTGCATACAAACATGATTAGAGTGCATTAAAACAATTTTAGAGTGCGTCAAAACATATTTAGAGTGCGTCGAAACATGTTTAGAGTTCGTCTAAACATGTTTTGAGGGCAATAAAACACGTTTAGAGTGCAT